CACTCTCTGGGCTCGGCCATCCAGCCAGTTTTTAACCCAGCAAAGAGTACATCCGTCTAGGCCATGAACTACTAGCTTCTCCAGGAGAATGCTATGGGAGACTGTGTTGAAGGCTTATCAACTCTCTTGTCCATACTGTAGTTTATTTAGGTGACTTTCAGAGTGCAGAGTTGAAGTTTTGAACACGGGGAGACCTCCTCTTTCATAGAATTGTTTAGGTTGGGAAAGACCTTTCAGATCACCAAGCCCAACCGTTCCTCTAACCCTGCCATCCCACCCCCAAACCCTGGCCCTCAGCACCTCGGCAGAGCCCGACCCCCCCGGCTCCCCCCTCCTCTCAGGCAGTTGTAGGCAGCGATGAGGGCTCCCCTCAGCCTCCTCTGCTCCAGGTTGAACACCCCCAGCTCCCCCAGCCGCTCCTCATAAGACTTCTGCTCCAGACCCTTTCACTGCATCCAATCCATCCATGTCACACAAAATTAAGAGCAGGGGACAAGAAAACGCCTTCAAATTCAGTATGAAAAGCTCTGCAAGGGTGGAAAAGCTTCTGCTTAGCCTCCAAGTTCGCTCTCTCCTTTGGCATGAAACATGCCCCCATCCATCAAAGAATGGCGAAAGGGGTAAGAGAAAAAATAGTGAGGAAAAAGAGGAGCACAGGAGGGAAGAATTAGGGTTGTTCCATGTCTATCCTCTGCAGCGCTATAGCACTCCATTGGCTTTTGATGGGAAAAGTTTCCATTTTCACAGGTTTTTCTGCAGTAGGGCTGACAGGAGAAGTTCGCCTAGGCAGGCCCACAGGCTCAGGCACCACTCTCTATTGAGCCAAGAAGCAAAACTGGCAAAACTGTGGCCATGTAATGCTATTAATGAATGGATGCCTCTCACCAGACACTACAGAGTGGGAAAATAACCAAGGAGCAGAAGAAAGCAGCAGTGAAAATCTGAAGTAAAATCAAAGACGAAATTCAGAAAAAGATGGAAGAAGCTATGGCGGGACTGAAAAAAATCAGTGCAGGGTAAAAGGAACAAGGAAGGGTTTGGTTATTTTTCTATTAAAATGGAAGTAGTAAACTAAAATCCACATTACACAGAAAACACTACAGTTACATTGGCAGGGTTAGCTGCACAGGCAAGAATAAACTGGACAAGAAAACTTGATTTATGTCTTCATTCCACAGCTGGATCCTCATTACCAATTTTAGGGAAATCTTCCATTTTTACTTATCCAGTAAGGAATTTCTTGCAAGGCCATGTGTAAAGCCTTTAAAATGAATGAATGATAGGAGAAGAGACTGAGGCAGGAGCGAAACCTCGTCTGTTGTACGCTAAGCCTCAACAAGCTCAATTTAGGAGAGAAAGTAAATGACTTAGTGATATGGAACCCAAAAATACACATCACGCGCACGTGTACAGTGTATATCTATAGGCTCAAAGCACACGAAGGTGAGGCAGAAGGAAGCTTCAGGAAAACGTTGTTTCAGTCATCTTCATGGTTACTATAGGTGCTCCTCCTGAAAGCTGCTTCCTAAAAGGTACTCCCAGGAAATTGCATATAAACATCATCTCTTCTTGCTTTCTACATACAGAGCTATAGGAAATAATCTGAAATATCAGAGAGTAAATACTGTAAGTCTCTACCATTTGGCACCAGGAAAAAATGCCAGTTCCCTCCAAAACAGGCTAGAAATGTAGTACCAGGGAGAAGAGTTCTGTTTAGATAATTTTACACTTGCTTCCAGCTTTTTATATTTCATTCATTTCACATAACCCCAGAAGAGAGTTTTCTGTGTCCCAGCCAATAAATTAAATAAAATCAATGCAGACATCTTCTGCGTTATTGTAGCTTTGGAAGTTAGGGAACTAGAACATAATTGCCCAAGGTATTCTGCAGCACAGATGGTCAAGGCCCATCAAAGCTAGTCAAAATTCAGATAATAATATATATGGATAACCTAATATAGATATTAAGCTAGCAAAAGACAGAAAAAAAATTCCAAATAAGGAAATAACATTCAATCTGGAAAATAAAACTCCAACTAAAAGCTCCCCATAGCTGTATCGAACTGGTTAAGCAAAGCTTTTCAAGAGAAATGAAAAAGGGTTTCTGGTTTTCTCTCTCTTCTAGCTCCTCCACTTCCATGGCAAACACTCAGCACCTTTGAGGCAGCCTGCCTGACTATTACTACATTCATCTGTAACAGAAAATACCAAAAAAAAAAAATGACAGAAAAAGAGGTATATGCAGCATCTCCTCTACAAGAGGGAGCACATTTTTTCACTTCACTTGGGAAATTTTGAAATTACTCTTCTAACTTCAGGTTACTAGCCCCATGAAAGAAATATGTATATGCCATCAAATTTGGATGAACATATATAGCCTCTGCAGAGGAAACAGATGTATCTTTATAAGAATAAATACTTAAACGATTTTTAGAGCTGAAGAATTGTTTACCAAAGCAATAACTCACCACTTCATGAATGGATCGGTTGAAGCCATCATCCTCTGTAAGGATCAGCAAAATGATAAGAGCCATGTAAACATGGTGTGAATTCCTTTCTTCAACGTGATACAGAATTTCAAGAATTGGCAGAACCTGTTGGGAAGGAAAACCGTGTGTATTAGTTTAGTCTTCAAATACCTCAGACAATAAACAGAGGAGACACTAAACCTCCCGTGTATCACCCTGCCCTTAACAATATCATTGCAATTCCTCCCTCTTGAAATAACCACCCCTAAATAGTGACGTACAGTGTTCAAACACCTTCCATCTGTTTCATTCTGCCTCCACAAAAGAGGCTAAACAAATTCTTTCTTGTGGTCAGACATGGAATTTCAATTCCTAATAAATGAGATTTCCAGCCATACCAGTTACCATAGGCTCTGAAAGCTTTAGTAACCCTCTGAACTATGGGAAAATGAAATTATTAAACAACATTTTCACCAGTTCAAGCAGGAAAACAATTGTTTCCAACCATTTGTGCTACCACAAGCCTGGTCTGAAAGGACTTTCCTCATCAAACATAGCCAAGCATATTGGAGCTGAGGTGTACAGAGGCATTTTGAGACCTGAAACTCAAATCCCATTTTGGTGTGTGGATATAATCCCAGAAAAGAACCAGTTTGAGTTGGGTTAGGACTAGAAAAGGCCTGTTTTTCCAATTCTAAATAAGACGCAGCCAAAGAGAACTGACATTATGATGAGAGTTCAGCCCAAGGTCTTGCAACTTTTCCACCAGGATGAACAGCTTAAGCCAAGTCTTGCAATAATAATGAAAATGAGATTTCATTGCAACAGCAAGCATACCTGACTGCTAGTCTAAAGTTAATCCAGATGCAAATGTTGTCTCTCTACCAACTGAAAATTAGCTTTCCACTGGCTCAGTACAATGTGGCTTCCCCACGCTGCAGAAATAGGCCTAAATAGCAAAATACCCTGGAAAAAGGAACTGGAGAAAACTCTCAATTCCAAGATAGCGGATGAGATGCAGAATTCATTCCAAGAAGCTTCTAGACACCTAAAGACTTGCTGTTTTTTCAAAAGAGGCCAAGTGCAGCAGGATGAATCATGTGAAACCTATTCTGGTGAGCGGCCAGGACACCGAGTGCTTCACAAGCCTCTGAAGTTACCAGAATGTTCTCTTACAATCAACCAGTCCCAAAACAGTTGGAACGTATTAAAAACACACAACAGTTTCTATTAAAACCAATGAGACTGATTCTAAATGCTGCAGGCCACAAAACCTTTTGACACGTGCTTTGGCGAGGGTCAAGACAATACCACAACAAAAGCAGAGGGAAAAAAATATTTACTCATTGCAAACATCCTTCCTCTGCCATTTCAAAGGATCCTTCGCAAACCTATCTCCCCAGTTGAAACCAGAGTCAATGCCTTTGTGCTTTGTGAACATAGGTCTTGAGAGTAAAGACTGGGTTTAGTTTAGAATATCTACTTAGCATATAGCAAAAAACCATGCTTGGGTGGAGGAAAAGGGAGAGGAACATCACTGTATTAGTCCACCGTTCAAATTATTTCCATCTCCAATATTTACACTGCACATAGCTTTGCACTTCATAAGCTGAAAGTCATTTCCAAGTCCAAGCCTTATGATAAGCTGCATACAGCAGGAAGCATTAGAAAACTATCAAAGAATTGTATTTACAACTTGACTTTCCAGGGAGAACAACATAAGCCTTTATTAACCGGTGGAACAACCTGAGTTTTTAAGACAGCCCCAAATACCCATGTATTCCTTCAGAACGGCCCAACAATTCTCCTCTGTGTGTGTGTGTGTGTATATATATATATATATCTCAATATTAGGAGAAACTGTAGTTGAAAAGGTGCATTTGTGTTCCTTAAATGTTCCAAGTCCCAAAAGTGTGTTGCTACAAACGACATTAAAAAAGGGTACTTCGATTCTGACACCAAGACAAGATAGACATTTCCACATGAGCCAATACGTGGAAGTCCTCTTACTAAAATTTCATATTAGTTACTCAAATCACTCACCCGCTGAAGAGTGATTTGGCTCTCCAGATCACTGCAGTCAGTCTTCCTGACCCACACGCACCTCGAAAGCTTTTGAAACCCCCTTCTCATCTCCACTCCCCTGGCCATATTTTCTTTTCCACTCCTCTTCCAGGCTTCTCTCCATCCTGGACGCTGTCCTGTGCCCCCTGCTCTGGGTGAGCCTGCTTGAGCAGGGGGGTGGCACTGGGGGAGCTCCAGAGGTCCCTTCCACCCCTTGCCATTCTGGGATTCTGTGTGATTCTGTGACAAACCAGACCCAACTCAAAGAGGCAAATGACAACTTATCTCTCCCTACCTGCCATTTCCAGATGAAAACGGAATCAATCCATACAGTTTCTATAACCCTTCCTCCCCTGAACATTTCTTCCTTTGCATTCCGATGGCTGAGGTACACACACCTTTAGGACAAGTATTACCATGCTCAGAACAAAAACTATTTGACAATCCGCCACTTAAATAAAAGAGAGGTGGGATAGGAGATTAAATTAAAATTTTAACTCTATTAAAATTTATCCAGAATTGTAACCAAGATGCATTTCTACACTTACATGTTACACGCATACATTGAAACTTTTACATCTGTTTTTTTACGCGTTGGCCTTGACCAGCCACGTACTGAGAAGACATTAACCACTTTTTTTTTTTTGTATTGCTGGCCCTTTTATTCATAGTCATTAAACCATCATTACTGCATTACTACTAACACTCCTCCATCAGGAGCAGCTTTTAATTGGTAAGGCACAGCCACCATTAAAAAGTTACTTTTAATCCCCAAAACAAGGACCAGGGAAAAACAGACCCTGAAAATTGCAGGTGCTAAATTCAGTCCAAGGTCAGGAACAGTTTCCCCAGCAAAGAGTTTTAAAATAGCTTGTCTTTAGTATACAAGAAAATACAAGACCACATAGCCACCCGAGTAACCTGCTTAAGCCAAATTTATACCACAGGAAAAAATATTGCCGTACCATCGGTTAATATAAATACATCATCACATACATTATTTCAGTCCAGACGCGTTGAGTGGCAACAAAATGTACAGCACAGAGCAGCGCTGCACCACTCAACAGCCAAAGCAAACATATTCCACAGAAATAGCTTATTTCTTACAAGCAGATTTCTCACTGGCATTTTTACCTGCAATATGGGTGTTAACTGCTCTTAGGAACAGAAGGCAGCTCAACGTTCTCCCAGCCACAGAGCACGACACCATGCTTATGAAAAAATTTGCTAATTGCCCCTATTTCACCAGTCCCACCACCTCCTGGAGAATCCTTCCAAGTGCTTTCAAGAAGATAGCTGAATTCCAGATGTGAACAGCCCTAACGGCATCAGATATTTAACCCAATTATTTTAGAAAATTATAAAGTGACAAAGTTATGGAAGGCGCACGAACGTCCCATTCATTCTACCAAGCATGTTATTATAAGAGCAAAAAAGATGCATTACCTTATTAACGACAAAGTATGATAAAGCACAACAGAAGATGAAGGTATTTATATATATATGATATGATGAAGGTATTTATATATATATGATATGATATGATGAAGGTATTTATATATATATGATATGATGAAGGTATTTATATATATATGATATGATGAAGGTATTTATATATATATGATATGATGAAGGTATTTATATCTAACTGGCAGAGGTAGACACATACAGAAATGAGGAAGCAAGCTGAGACATTATCTATTACAACAGTTAACAAAACCACGCCGAATCAATTTACAAATTAAACAAATTAAAATAAAAGTTACAAAAGAGCAACCTTTCAAAAAAAACCCTGTCATGGAACATCTGCTCGTGATGCTTCCTGGGCACCAAACCTGGGAAGCATTCAAACAGGGGAAAACACTGCAAACGTGATGCACTGAGTGCAGTGAAACGGCGACAACCTGCAAACCCCCTAAAAGTTGAAGATGAGCAGGCAGCTGACTGCTGGCCTGATCCCTCCTATAGCACAGCCGCCTGTACTTCACCCAACCGCCTCTGTACGAACGGGGCCACTAACTTACGCCATGTTCATCCAAAAAGTCATCCCCCCCCCCGTTCAAAGATAGCCACAGAGAGCACTGGTTTGCCTCTGAATTAATTACCTTAGCTGTTGTACTCCCGTAGCTCTAAGCTGTGGGATTCAACCTCCAGGCTTTAGTCCTTATCACAGCTCTCCGCAAGCGGAGCGTCCTTTCCGTTGAAGGCACACACTCACCCCGACGCTTCTCATGCTCTTTTCTGACCAACCGAGCTAAGTTAGCTTTCTAAGCCTCTCACGGTTTGGTTGTTCAGTTTAAAGCAAAAAAAAAAAAAAAAAAAAAAGTTTCTCTCTACTCTCTCCATTTTCAATAGCCTGTAAATATTTTATGAAGTAGGGTAGTACACCACCACAATAGTATGCAGCATGTTAGCACCATTCTTGCCATATAGGGAAGGAAATAACCAGCTCCCTACTCCTGCCCCTTCGTCTCATTTACAAGCCCAAGACTGAATTAGCCTTTTTCACCACAGGGTTGTAATTAGAAGATTGTGATTTCTTTGTCCAGTAACCCTCCCACCCCCAATCCTTTCTGTGTCTGGCTCAGCCTGCGTTCCTAAGCAATTCAAACTGCTCTGTCCAGTTGGCCGCTGCTCGTCCTTACCTATCAGCCCGCTGAAACCAAGAGGATGGGACAAAGATGTCAGTAATGTGTCAGTAGTGACCACAAAAAGCAATGGCATGCACAAAGAGTAAAATGAGAGTAGACTGCTTCAGATTTTGGAATGAAAAGAAAAAAAAAAAGAAATAAATCCAACACGCTGTTGACTTCTCAGTGATGCTTTTCTCAATTTTTTCAGCTTTTCCCACAAAGTCTTTTAATGTTGCTGATTATTTCTGTGATTCTGGGATTTTCTGATTTATTTTTTTTTTTCTTCTTTTTTGAGGGGGAGGAAAGATAGGTGATAATATATGAAAATGTCCCATATTGCAGAGCATCTGAGTACCTGCATCTGGAGTTGTTCTGACACACGCACCTCATGCTTTTTCTGGAAGCTTTACAATATCTCAGGCATCATAATTATAAAACAGTGCATGCACCTAACCTTTATTTCTCTAAAGTAAATCGGTATGGTTAGCAGCTGTGAAACTTGTCATAGCACAGGGCAACAGCCCAGAAAACTAAACACGACCATTTGTTCACGGAATTCACACAAAATGACTCAGCCCTCACCTACATAATCCGCAGTGGACTACCCAGGAGTTCAGTCTTGAATCAATTCGATATCAACCATCTCACCCGAGTTTGCCAACAGTGGCGTCTATCAACTCTGATTTTAGCAATACATCTGCTGGAACTTGGACCGAGACCAAACTCATTCCGTATCTGCCATCGAACAGGCAAGGGATCTAATTATCTGGCAAGATTTCAAATAGTAAAATGGCAAGGGTTCTGTATTCCGTTTTACCAGTTCCCCTAGACATCTTATTAAGGAATGCTTTTTCATAAGTACGATTTGTTAAAGTGGTTTGTGACATTACTGAACGTAGTGGGGAGCATAAGCTAATTTATAACCTACCAAAATTGTACCAGGTGTCTGTTATATTGGCTATTAACCACAATCCTATTTAAAGCAGCTAAAAAGTCACTATGGTTGCATTTCTAGAAAATATGTCAGCTGCTCCCTGAGGAGTTTCAACCTCAGGTCAGCCCTATAAGGCACTTGCCATATTGGTCAAGTCACAGCTCATTTTGTTAACTATTATCCCTATACGTACACAGTAAGCTTGTGTAATTTTTTGGCCTGAATATCTAAAAACTCAGAAAGAATGAAATAATGAATGCAATGATATCTACTACCAGTTTCTCTACACTACGCCCAGGGGCTAGAAGGTTTGACCTGGATCAGACAGTGGCACTGAGAAAGAGGGAATCAAAGGCAGCCTGGTAGCTTTATCAGTGCTATCTTTTACAGCAGTGTTATGTTTAGCATCATACTCCTGAGATGACAAAATAAAAGTGAATAATATGAGGCAGAACTGGTGAATATGTGAGCCAGAACCTACTGCCCCCACTGCAGAACAGGGGGACACTGGCAACCGGTGACACCCAAGTTTCCAGGACCAACCCCTTGCGCTGAGTATAAGGCAAACAGAGCAATACTTACAAGATTTTCTATGTCCGTTCGTGCCAACACATACGTCCGTACGTTGCTGTTTTGATGCAGAAGCATGTATAAAAGAAGAGTCGCTTGATCAGATTTCTGCTGCTCGCACAAAGCTGTGTACAAACTGTTAAAATTAATCTGGAAAGCATGTGGATTTGATGATGAAAAAGCAGTGCTATCTGAAATAAAGAAATAAAAAAAAAATCTTTAACAAATACACTTACCATCCAGCTATTTGTTAACTTCATAAAAATCTCTCACTGAATTATTTTATACAGACACCACAGCAAGGAGGAAACAAAAGTCATCCATGACTCTCATCACTGATGGCCATAAACCTTAACAGGGTCTCATGAAGCTTCAGGTGCACCAAAAGGCTGAGGCCGTCCTCCACATGAGCTCCAGTAAGACCCCTGAATCTGTACAAGACCCTCACCCTTCTGCTTAAAGCTATTCTGTTCATCTAAATGGCTTCTACCTTTGGGAAGGCAGGCAATGCTAGGAGCGGCTACAAGGAGGCAGATGACACTAAGCTGGGTGGAACTGCTGATCTGCTGGAGGGTAGGGAGGGCTCTGCAGGGGGACCTGGCCAGGCTGGATCCATGGGCCCAGCCCAACTGGGTGAGGGTCAACAAGGCCAAGGGCCAGGTCCTGCCCTGGGGTCACAACAACCCCAGGCAACGCTCCAGGCGTGGGGCAGAGGGGCTGGAAAGCTGCCCGGCGGAAAAGGCCCTGGGGGTGCTGGTCGACAGGGGGCTGAATATGAGCCAGCAGGGTGCCCAGGTGGCCAAGAGGGCCAGCAGCATCCTGGCTTGGATCAGGAGGGGTGGGGACAGCC